GAGTCAGCCAACCACTGGTGAACCAACAAAGGTGCAAGGCTGAGCTGGAAGCACTGCAGTCTCTGAGGTGGTCCATGTGCCACACCGCCAACTGTGACAGACTTTCTGAGAGCAGCACCTCACCTCACCCAAGCGCTGGCAGCAGGATACATCCACCAGCATGCCCAAGCTGCTCCTGCACCTGGAAAAGAAGACACCTGTGCTTGGCAGATCATCTTCACCTATTCCTCTACTCCTAGCAAGGAAGGGAGTGCAGTGTTTGCTGGCTCTGAAGGGAGAAAGAAAAACTAATGAAATGAATGAGGTCCTTTCCTGGAAGGCTGTGCCTGACAATTACCCACCAGGTGACCAGTGTCTCCACCCTCTTACATTTACAGGGCATAACATTTGCTGCAATTTTTTATAAAACTTCCAGAAATCCTTGGGAAGATGTCCTTTTCTGAGAAATATCTGAAGACTTTTTTGAAGCACTCTGATGCTTATTTGAGGTTTTTAGCAGAATACCATGATGACTTTTTCCCAGAGTCAGCTTATGTCTTTGCTTGTGAGGTGCGTTACAGCACCAAGAATCCCTGGGCAATTTCCTTTTTTTTTTCTTTTTTTTTGAGACGGACTTTCGCTCTTGTCACCCAGGCTGGAGTGCAATGGCGCGATCTCGGCTCACCGCAATCTCTGCCTCCTGGGTTCAGGCAATTCTCCTGCCTCAACCTCCTGTGTAGCTGGGATTACAGGCACGCGCCACCATGCCCCGCTAACTTTTTTGTATTTTTAGTAGAGACGTGGTTTCACCATATTGACCAGGATGGTCTCGATCTCTTGACCTCATGATCCAACCACCTCGGCCTCCCAAAGTGCTGGGATTACAGGCTTGAGCCACTGCGCCCGGCCCCTGGGTAATTTCTTAAAGTGTTGGTGGTTCTGTAAGAACAACTGCTCTGTCTAGCTTGGTGCTCTGGGTTCCAGATGAACAACTATCAAGGTGGTGGGTCTTTACCCAGAGCACAAACACAATGCCCATTTGGTGGCTCTGACAGAGGTGGGCCCTGTTGTTTGAGTTGCCCACATAATGTAGTTATTCTGTTAGGAAATATTTCCTGGGTGCCTGAAAGTGCTCTGACACAACACTTGCTACTGTGCAGGCCATGTGTGATGGCAGGAAAAAAGCAACTGTGTTCACAGTGAAATGTTCACAGAAGAGTACATAAGTTAGGCCATTTCAACAGACATTGCAGTTAAACAGCAAGAATCACATGGTTTTGTTATTTGTTACCATCGAACAAAATTTTTTTGCAAATTGGTTTCATTCTTTTGATGAAGCTGAGCAACTCTGTCCAACAATGTTTAGTTTGTACTTGGAAACCACAAAATAGTTCCAAAGTATTTTAGAGGGAATCAAGATTGATGGCAAAAGAAAATTTGCAGCTAGACATTTGCTTCTAACAATTTCCTCTCTATAAAACATTATTTTTGGTGATCGAAAGAAAGCACTGCCTTTCTTGTTTGAGATTTTACAGCTATACTTTGCTGTGTAATGTTATGGTTCCCTTTCTGTCAAGTGTTACTTCTGGTGATCTATATAAAGCCTGTCTTGTTTGAAAAAACAAAAACAAAAACAAGAGCAATAACGTAAAAAGAAGTCTTTGCCAACACCAATGTCCTGGAGACTTTCCCCAATGTTTTCTTTTTTTTTTTTTTTTTTTGAGACGGAGTTTCGCTCTTTTTACCCAGGCTGGAGTGCAATGGCGCGATCTCGGCTCACCGCAACCTCCGCCTCCTGGGCTCAGGCAATTCTCCTGCCTCAGCCTCCCGAGTAGCTGGGATTCCAGGCACGCGCCACCATGCCCAGCTAATTTTTTTGTATTTTTAGTAGAGACGGGGTTTCACCATGTGGACCAGGATGCTCTCGATCTCTTGACCTCGTGATCCACCCGCCTTGGCCTCCCAAAGTGCTGGGATTACAGGCTTGAGCCACCGCGCCCGGCCACTTCCCCAATGTTTTCTTGTAGAATTTTCCTTATTTGAGGTCTTAGTTTCAGTCTTTAACCTATTTTAATTTGAGTTTCTTATAGGGGTAGAGATGGGAGTCTAGTTTCATTCTTCTGCATAAGGACATCCAGTTTTCCCATACAATTTATTGAAGAGACTTTCCTTTACCCAAGGTTCTTGACATCTTTATCAAAAATGAGTTCACTGTAGATGTATGAATTTATTTCTGGGTTCTCTTAACGTGCTTCATTGGTCTATGTGTCTGTTTTTATGCCAGTGCCATGCTGTTTTGGTTACTATAGCGCTGAGGTATAATTAGAAATCAGGTACAGGGATTCCTCCAGTTTTGTTCTTTCTGCTCTGGACAGCTTTGGCTATTCTGGTCTTTTGTGGTTCTGTATAAATTTTAGGATTTTTTTTTCTATTTTTATAAAGAATACCATTCGTATTTTCATAGGGATTGCATTGAATCTGTAGACTGTTTTGGGTAGTATGAACATTTTAACAATATTGATTCTTCCAATCTATGAATATGAAATATCTTTCCTCTTTTGTGTGCCCTCTTCAATGTCTTACATCAGTGTTTCATAGTTTTTATTGTAGAGATACTTCACTACTTTGGTTAACTCCTAAGTATTTAATTCTACTGGTAGCTATTATAAATGGGATTACTTTTTTTGATTTTCAGATTGTTTGCTGTTGGCATATAGAAATGCCACTGGTTTTTTTTTTTTTTTTTTAAGTTTTGAGATGGAGTCTTGCTCTGTCACCAGGCTGGAGTGCAGTGGTGTGATCTTGGCTCACTATAACCGCCGCCTCCTGGTTCAAGCAATTCTCGTGCCTCAGCCTCCCAAGTAGCTGGGATTACCACACCCAGCTAATTTTTTTTTTTTTCCAGTAGAGACCAGGTTTCACCATGTTGGTCAGGATGGTCTCAAACTCCTGACCTCATGATCTACCCACTTTGGCCTCCCAAAGTGCTGGGATTACAGGTATGAGCCACCATGCCTGGCCAACCACTGATTTTTATTTGTTGGTTTTGCATCTTGCAATTTTACTGCATTTCCTTACAGGTTCTAATGGTTTTTTGGTAGAGTCTTTAGGTTTTCCAAATATAAGATCGTATCATCTGCAAACTTGGATAATTTGACTTCTTCCTTTTCAATTAGAATGTGCTTCATTTCTTTCTCTTGTCTAATTACTAGCTAGGACTTCCAGTACTATGTTGAATAACAGCGGTAAAAGTGGGAATCCTTGTCTTGTTCTAGATCTTAGAGGAAAGGCTTTCCATTTTCCCCATTCAATATGATACTTTCTGTTGTATATGGATTTTATTGCATTGAGGTATGTTCCTTCTACACCCAGTTTTTTGAGGGTTTTTATCATAAAAGAAGGTTGTATTTAATCAAATGCTTTCTCAGCATTAGTTGAAATGATCATATAGTTTTTGTCCTTCATTCTGCTGATACGATGTATCCCATTTATTTGTATAAGTTCAACCATCCTTGCATCGCTGAGATAAATCCCAGTTGGTCATGATGAATGATCTTTTTAATGTGTTGTTGAATTCTTTTTGCTAATATTTTGTTGACTATTTTTTTAACCCCATTCATTCGAGATACTGGCCTTCAGTTCTTTTTTTGATGTGTCTTTGGTTTTGTTATCAGGGCAATCCTGGTCTTGAAGAATGAGTTTGGAAATATTTCCTCCTTTCTTTTTTGGAATAGTTTGAACAAGATTGATCTTAGTTTTTCTTTAAATGTTTGGTAGAATTCTGCAGTGAAGCCAACGGGTCCTGGGTTTTTCTTTATTGGAAATATATTTATTATGGCTTTGATCTCATTACTTGTTATTGGTCTGCTCAGGTTTTGGATTTCTTCATGGTTCAATCTTGGTTGGTTGTATGTGTCTAGGAATTTATCCATTTCTTCTAGTTTTTCAAATTTATTGGCCTATCATTGCTCATAGTAGCCTCTGGTGATTCCTTGAATTTTGATAGTATTGGTTTTATGGCACACATGTATATGTATATATAAATATGTATTTGAGATGGGGGTCTCACTCTGTTGCCCGGGCTGGAATGCATTGGTGTAGTGGCTTGCTGCAGCCTCAACTTCCTAGGCTCAGGCAAACCTGACACTTCAGCCTCTCAAGTAGCTGGGGCCATAGGTGCATGCCACCACATCTGGCTGATTTTTTAAATGATTATTTGTAGAGATGGAGTCTTCCTATGTTGCCCAGGCTGGTCTTGAAGTTCTGGGCTCAAGCCATCTGTCTGCCTCAGCCTCCCCAAGTGCTGGAATTACAAGATTGAGCCAGCATGCCTGGCTGTTTTTAACATCTTTATATGGAAAAAAAATATCATAGGCAAAGTTTAAAGGCAAATGACATACCAGAATGTGACAAAGGTTAATGCTCAAAAGAACTCTTGAAAACTCAGTAAAAAATAACATTTCAAGCCAGGTGCAGTGGCTCACACCTATAATCCCAGCACTTTGGGAGGTCATGGAGGGTAGATCATGAGGTCAGGAGATCGAGACCATCCTGGCCATGGTGAAACCACAGCTCTACTAAAATACAAAAAATTAGCCAAGTGTGGTGGTGCACACCTATAGTCCCAGCTACTCAGGAGGCTGAGGCAGGGGAATCTCTTGAATCCGGGAGACGGAGTTTGCAGTGAGCCAAGATCATGCCACTGCACTCCAGCCTGGTGATAAACAAGACTCCATCTCAAAAATAATAAATAAATAACATTTCATATCTAAAACTGATTCAAAGTTTTAAAAATCTCAGGAACAAAACAGTAAATCTACTCTCCTTTATTTATTCTCTTATCCCATTTTAGCTGAAATGTTGAGAAGAACTAATTCCAATAGTCTCTCTTATTTCTGACCTCCCACTTTACAATGTGAAGCCTAATAGATACATTCCTAGACAGAGAATCAAACTTTACAGTCAATATATGTCCCACTCCAATTATGAAGCATGATCCTAAGTACAGATTTCAGACATACCACATTCGCTAGCTGATCCTCCCACCAACTGGAAGAACTGCTGGGCAATTTTCATATGATCCCTCTGAAAAACAAACTGAGCTGATATAGAGGAATAAAGTAAAAATATTTTATTTTATTATACTTTATGGTTCTAACATATTTGTCAGGATTTAACATATAACCTTCTTTTAAATCTTGCCCCAAACAATACTAATTCTTATTAGCATAACAACTAGACCTGAAACTGAATTAAAACCTGTGCAGGGACAGACAGAAAAGAAAAAGAATCAAATCCTTAAATTCTACCATAAAACTTCATTAAATGAACTCATTCTACAAATATCTATTGCTCTTTTATCAGGCTTTGGAACAGGAGCTATAAATGTAACAAGGAGTATTTATTAAACTCATTTATTTATTTACATTTTTGGAGATGGAGTTTCGCTCTTATTGCTCAGGCTGAAGTGCAATGGCACAATCTTGGCTCACCGCAACCTCCACCTCCCGGGTTCAAGTGATTCTCCTACCTCAGCCTCCTGAGTAGCTGGGATTACAGGCATGCACCACCATGCCCGGCTAATTTTTTGTATTTTTAGTAGAAATGGACTTTCACCATGTTGGTCAGGCTGGTCTTAAACTCCTGACCTCATGATCTGCCCGCCCTGGCCTCTCAAAGTACTGGGATTACAGGTGTGAGCCACCACACCCGGCCTAAACTCATTTATTTAATAAATATTTGCTGCCTATTTACTATACAAGACATTGCAGAATGAACTTGAGATAAGGCCGGGCGTGGTGGCTCAAGCCTGTAATCCCAGCACTTTGGGAGGCCGAGGCGGGTGGATCACGAGGTCAAGAGATCGAGACCAACCTGGTCAACATGGTGAAACCCCGTCTCTACTAAAAATATAAAAAATTAGCTGGGCATGGTGGTGTGTGCCTATAATCCCAGCTACTCAGGAGGCTGAGGCAGGAGAATTGCCTGAACCCAGGAGGCGGAGGTTGCGGTGAGCCGAGATCACGCCATTGCACTCCAGCCTGGGTAACAAGAGCGAAACTCCGTCTCAAAAAAAAAAAAAAAAAAAAAAAAAAAAAAAGAACTTGAGATAAGATTTATTCGTATCCCATTTTGTTCCAAAAAGAACAAAGAATGATGTATTAAGATGGATAAGAGCTTAATTTTAGACAGTGTTTTGGTGTTTATAAAAAAAAAAATTTCCCAAGAAACAATTTTCTCCAGTTTACAGATGTCAAAATTATAGCTCAGATCTATGTAAGTCAAAAAAAAGTCCCTGCAAATAAGAATGAAGTTGCGCCGGGCGCGGTGGCTCAAGCCTGTAATCCCAGCACTTTGGGAGGCCGAGGCGGGTGGATCACGAGGTCGAGAGATCGAGACCATCCTGGTCAACATGGTGAAACCCCGTCTCTGCTAAAAATACAAAAAAGTAGCTGGGCATGGTGGCGCGTGCCTGTAATCCCAGCTACTCAGGAGACTGAGGCAGGAGAATTGCTTGAACCCAGGAGGCGGAGGTTGCGGTGAGCCGAGATCGTGCCTTTGCACTCCAGCCTGGGTAACAAGAGCGAAACTCCGTCTCAAAAAAAAAAAAAAAAAAAGAAGTTGCGCAACGATTTTAAAATTTGTTATTAAATAAATTGCTATTTAAAAAATGGACCTTTGGCCGGGCGCGGTGGCTCACACCTGTAATCCCAGCACTTTGGGAGTCCGAGGCGCGTGGATCACGAGGTCAAGATATCAAGACCATCCTGGTCAACACGGTGAAACCCCGTCTCTACTAAAAATACTAAAAATTAGCTGGGCATGGTGGCACGTGCCTGTAATCGCAGCTACTCAGGAGGCTGAGGCAGGAGAATTGCCTGAACCCAGGAGGCGGTGGTTGTGGTGAGCCGAGATCGCGCCATTGCACTTCAGCCTGGGTAACAAGAGCAAAACTCCGTCTCAAAAAAAAAAAAAAAGGACCTTTTTTTTGGAGACGGAGTCTTGCTCTGTCACCCAGGCTGTGCAGTAGCATGATCTCGGCTCACTGCAACCTCCGCCTCCTGTGTTCAAGTGATTCTTCTGAAAATTAAACCCTTTTAAACAAGGAGAAATCTTTAGGGTCACAGGATTGTGGTTTTTTTGTTTATTTGTTTGTTTTTGTCTCTAAATACTATAACATTCTTTTCACAATGGAGTCTGGATTGAGGGATACAGAGAAATAAAAGGAGCTACAGGAGAGTCTATTGCTGCCTGCACTTCGATAGTCATTTTGTTCTCTTCCACATACCTATAACTTTACAACCGATAGATTATCAGTGATTTCATACTCACTGAACCTATTTCCTGGCCAAGGGCTGCATTGACCACTCCTTTGAGAATATACTCCTAGAAACATGGAATAACACTGGTTAAGAGAAATGTGGAGCTATGAGATCATTTTCAAATTAACTCCTTACATTAACTTAATACTTTATATAAATTATCAAAGATTACCCAGAGTTACTTTTCTCTGTTCTATCCCTAGCTTGAATGAAAGAATTAGGAGACACTCATTTAGTTGCCAGCAGCCAAGTATCTACATAACACAATACCATATTTGTAAATTCTCCATCTTAAGCAAAAATAATTCAGTGGAAGCTCCAGGAGATAAGTTTCTTTTTATTTCAATTATATGAAAAAAGTTGATATAATTTTTATTACCTTCTCAACCATATCATATATATTATTTTCCCTTTCCAATCTTTTTTTTTTTTTTTTTTTTTGAGACAGAGTCTCACTTTTGTTGCCTAGGCTGGAGAGCAGTGGTGTGATCTCAACTCATTGCAGCCTCTGCCCCCCAGGGTTCTAGCAATTCTCCTACCTCAGCCTCCAGGGAGACTGGGATTACAGGTGCCCCCCACACCATGCCTGGCTAATTTTTTTGTATTTGTAGTAGAGATGAGGTTTTGCCATGTTGGTCAGGCTGGTCTCGAACTCTTGACCTCAGGTGATCCACTTGCCTCTGCCTCCCAAAGTGCTGGGATTACAGGCGTGAATCACTGTGCCCAGCCCCTTTTAAATGTTATAGTAACTTTTCTTTGCTAGTAATCCTTTTCCTAAAAAAAATAAAAAATAAAAAATAAAAAAATGTGTCCTATGTCCATTTATAAGGTATTCTCTCTTTTGAAGTCCTGGGGCCTCACTTGTATCCTTTTTTTCAGACTTGGTTCAATTTTTTAATACATACCCTTCCTAGGTAGCAGGTTTATCAAACTTTCATTTAAGAGAGCTCACAGGCTGGACGCAGTGGTTCACACCTGTAATCCCAGCACTTTGGGAGGCCAAGGTGGGCAGATCATGAGGTCAGGAGTTCGAGACCAGCCTGGCAAACATGGCGAAACCCCGTCTCTACTAAAAATACAAAAAATTAGCAGGGCATGGTGGTGCATGCCTATAATCCCAGCTATATGGAAGGCTGAGGCAGGGGAATTACTTGAACCTGGGAGGCAGAAGTTGCAGTGAGCAGAAATCAGGCCACTGTACTCTAGCCTGGGAGACAGAGAAAGACTCTGTCTGAAAAAAAAAAGAGAGAGAGAGAGCTCACAAAAAGGACAGCATGAAAGAGGCTGAATCTTTAAATATACTTGAGAAATACACTTGTTTAAACTCCATGGGATCTGGAAATATTCTTTATTCAGTCTTTCATTCAATAAATGGAATGTTTACAATATACTTCATGTGCATGGTGTTGGAGATACAATAAGACACTGTCCCTGACTACAAGGAGTTAATGATCCAATGGGGAAGAAAGACAAGTTATAGACAATTTGTGAGATAATTGCATGTATCTAGTTGCTTCAGTGGAATTCTAAATTTTCATATTTCCAAATACTAAAGGAATTTTCCAAATTTCCTTACCCTTTTTGACAAAATGACTACATATAAGGAAGTGAAAAAACATCAAAAAGCACAGAACATTCATTCTCGTATCACAAGTTGCATATAACATTCCTAAATGAATATATATAGTCTTTTCCTGGGATTCTACAGGCAGTAGTCTGCCTTATCTTCTCTAATATGACTTCCAACTAGATTTCTGAAGTTCTACTTTCAGCAGAACTTGGTTAGTAAAAATGTAAAACATTCTCAGTTACCTGAGGAGTAGTAGGTTCCAGATCCTTAATTAAGTTATAAGCTTCTTGTACATCATCTGAAATATAACAAATAAGTAATTACACTAGTCTGTATTCCAGAAAACCCTTCTGAGGCAGTCCCTCCGAAAAGATCCTTCACTACTTAAATATTCATGGGAAATAGGATCTGTTTTATCTGTCTTCTAAGTCTCAATGTTCAGAGTTGAGTAGCTATGATAAAGATAACCAATATCCTTAGAAAACTCATATTAAAGCCATGAAGCACTTTAAAAAATGTTGAAGCTAAGAACATGGAGGAGGCATTCTACGCCAATGGCATCGTATTAGATAAGAAAAGTAACCTTTTTAATTTTTTTTTTAAGAGAGAGATATACTAAATATATAGGAATTAAATGATATCAAGTCTGAGATTTGCTTTAAAACATTTCGGGAACAAAAAGCGGGTACTGAATGAAAAAAGAAGATTGGAAATATCTTGAAAAGTGCTGAATCAAAAAAAAACAACAACAACAAAAAAGTGCTGAATCTGGGGTATTTGGATGTTTATTTATTGTACTATTTATTTTTATGTTTGAAATTTACCGGCCGGGCGCGGTGGCTCAAGCCTGTAATCCCAGCACTTTGGGAGGCCGAGGCGGGTGGATCACGAGGTCGAAAGATCGAGACCATCCTGGTCAACATGGTGAAACCCCGTCTCTATTAAAAATACAATAAAACTAGCTGGGCATGGTGGCGCGTGCCTGTAATCCCAGATACTTAGGAGGCTGAGGCAGGAGAATTGCCTGAGCCCAGGAGGCGGAGGTTGCGGTGAGCCGAGATCGTGCCATTGCACTCCAGCCTGGGTAACAAGAGCGAAACTCCGTCTCAAAAAAAAAAAAAAAGAAAAAGAAATTTACCATAATAAAAGTAATTTAGGCCGGGTGTGGTGGCTCAAGCCTGTAATCCCAGCACTTTGGGAGGCTGAGGCGGGTGGATCACGAGGTCAAGAGATCGAGACCATCCCGGTCAACATGGTGAAACCCTGTCTCTACTAAAAATACAAAAAATTAGCTGGGCATGGTGGCGCGTGCCTGTAATCCCAGCTACTCAGGAGGCTGAGGCAGGAGAATTGCCTGAACCCAGGAGGCGGAGGTTGCGGTGAGCCGAGATCGCGCCATTGCACTCCAGCCTGGGTAGCAAGAGTGAAACTCTGTCTCAAAAAAAATAAAATAAAATAAAAATAAAAGTAACTTATAAAATATATATGCTGTTTATCTCATTCTTGTCCAAAACATATTTCCTTTTGCTTATATATAAAATAGAGGCTTGGCATGGTGGCCCACGCTTGTAATCTCAGCACTTTGGGAGGCCAAGACAGGTACATCACCTGAGGTCAGGAGTTTTTGAGACTAGCCTGATCAACATGGCAAAACCCCACTTCTATTAAATATACAAAAATTTGCTGGGCATGGTGGTGCACGCCTGTAATCCCAGTTACTTGGGAGGCCGAGGCAGGAGATTCACTTGAACCCAGTGGGTGGAGGCTGCAGTGAGCCGAGATCGCACCAATGCACTCCAGCCTGGGCAACAGAGTAGGACTCCATCTCAAAATAATAACAAATAAATAAAATAAATAGGACTTTTTGCAAGTACATGTTCTTATTTCAATAAACACATATTCCTCCATGAGGAATATGTTGTCCTGGCTGGTTTCCAGAGCCCATGACTGAATGCCACCAAAAATGGATGGTGGCTGCTACCCTGTACTCATAGCTGCTAGAAAAGGCTGCTTTAGGCACGTGTCTAACAATTTTAATCTTACTTTGGGGCAACAAATATCACATCCTCTTTGAATCATAGTATTTCTCATAAGCAGCCTGGGGTACAAAGAAACAGAAAGGCAAACAATCAAAGCAAAAAAAACATCAGTTAATCATTTTTTCAAAAGACACAAGAAAATGTGGATGTACATTATGCAATGGGGAAAACTAGAAAAAGAAAGAACTGTAAGGGAACGGGAGGAAAAACAATTAAAAAGAAAGAATGGATAGAGAATAAAGGACAGAAAAATAAAAGGAAAAAAGAAAAAAACAGAATGAGCGAGAAGAAGGTAGGAAGCAACAGAAGAAGAAAGAGGATTAAAAAGGCACAACAAACAAGCACCATAAACTTGTTCTATGAACTTGTTGGAAATATATTTGTAGAAATATGGATTTAAAAAGTGAAACAAGTAGTTCACTCAGACATATTTAAATATTCTAAAATATCTCATTGTAAATAAGACTAGGACAAATTTTTCTTACCTTGACGAAGGTAGTAAATCACCAAGTTTAGCCTAGCTTCAGGAATGACATCAACCAGAGGAGGTAAAACCTGCAAAGCCCCTTCACCTCCTCGGAAAACAACCTAGAGATAGAGAAATCATGCTATTATGGCAATAACAATGTATATATTTATTGGTGACAATGTTTAAGGAGCTGCCACATACAACTGGGTTCATGATATTTGACTAAAATAGCTGTGGGAATCAGTTGATATATTGAGAACTTTTATTATTGGCTGGATTTATTATTGACTACCTAATCCCCATGCTTCTTACCTTCTCTCTTCTTTTCCTTCCTCTCTGCTTTTGATCCTTCTTAACAGTCCTGTCATAATTAAACATTTTATTTTTAAACCTATATAAAACCTACCTCCATTATCAGTCTCTATAGCCTTATCCTTCTTTATTTTTATTCATAGCACTTATATTTTTATTTTATTGTATATTTCTTTATCTGTTTACTTGTTACGTCCACCACAATATGGCAAGGACCTTTGCATTTACTGTGTTCTCCCAGTCCCTAGAACTGTGGCTGGTAGAGTCGGCACTCAAGTTATTTTTTGAAAGGACGAACATATTTTTGAAGCTCTCTGTATACATATGAACTTGATCTCATTGAAAGCAAGCCATGATCTAAATTACAGCAATATACATCTCCTGTATACCTACAAAAATTTAAATTTTAAAAACAAAAACTATAAGAAATAGAATAAAAATAATAACCCTTATTGTGTGCATCTCTTTTCCTCTTCATAAGAACTGCAGAAAACTCTTAAAGTACCCGATAACTAATAAAACTCTTTTCTAGATAGACATTCTACATCAAAAACTCCCTGAAGGAATTTATATAACCTTTCTGAGCCTGTTTCCTCATCTCTAAATGGCATTAGCAATGCCTACCTTTAGGGTTCTTACGAGGATTAAATGAGTTAAATTTAGTGGACTAAATGTGTGCACATATTTCAATATTTCATGGAATTAACAGCATGTACTACATGCCCATTACTGTAACCAGCATGGGGGTTATGGCAGGAACAGGTCACTCCCATCACCATAGGGACTATTCAAGTGGGGACAGACCTCCAAAAAGCAAACAAATAAATATGTTATCAGATGATAATAAATGTTACAAAGAAAAGCTAAAAAACCAAAACAAAAAAATTCAACCATGAAAGGACAATTTATTTTGTGTACTGTTGTATTTCTAGAGCCTAGCATAGTGTCTGGAATATAGCAAATTGTTTCATAAATAAATTTACAGAAAGCAAGGTCATCCCACATGAACTACACAGTTTCTTCTCTCTATCCCAAAATATCTATTTGGTGATCTTTTTTGGTTCCTCTTTGAGATAGTCCCTTCTTTTGCCAAGACTAATTCATTTACCTGTCTTCCTGATCCCACGACTTCTAATTCCATCTGGACCTCTTTTCTCCATTAATCACTGTATCTTCAATCTTCCCAAAGCCCTGGTCCTACTTCTCAACTTTAAACATACACAAGGGGCTTTTGTTCTCTTGACAAATCTTCCCCTTGGCTGCATTGTTTCCTCTGGATAGTGCCCTATTTTTCTCTTTTTCAGTGCCACATTTCAAAATTGTGTGACTTACTGCTTCTACTTTCTTCTCATCCTCTCACTCAACCTCTCAAAACATTGGCTTCTGCTCTCAGCATACTAATCAACTTACTCTCACAAGTCACAAATTAATCTCTTTGGCTAAATTCAATGGACTTTTCTGTCCTCTTGCTCCATGATGTGTCTGCGGTTTTGACACTGATGCCTACAAGATGACAGTAAGAGTAACAATGCCATTTTCTAAATGCACACTGTGTGAAGCCCCTTACACATACTACCTCACTTAATCCTCACAAAAATGCAAGACAAGTACTTTCATTTTCCCTGTTCCACATATAAGAACACTGAGACTCAGCAATGTTAAGTGACTTATCCAAAGTTACAAAGCTAGTACACGGTAGAACTTGATCTTGACCTCAAATCTAACATCAAAAGTTGATGTTTTTTAACAAGCATTTTATATTGCCCTGATATTTTTCAGGTTAAAAAATTATAAGAGTGGCCAGGCACGGTGGCTTATGCCTGTAATCCCAGCACTTTGGGAGGCCGAGGCGGGCGCATCACAAGGTCAGGAGTTCGAGACCAGCCTGACCTACATAGTGAAACCTTGTCTCTACTAAAAATACAAAAATTAGCTGGGCGTGGTGGCACCTGTAATCCCAGCTACTCAGGAGGCTGAGGGAGGAGAATTGCTTGAACCTGGAAGGTGGAGGTTGTAGTGAGCCAAGACTGCACCACTGCTCTCCAGCCTGGGCAACAGAGTGAGACTCTTATCACACACACAAAAAAAATCATAAAATATGTGTTTATTAGAAAAAACTTAAATACAGTATTATGAAATAAAATTTTTCATATTCTTACTTCTTTTTAAAATCCCACTCTTCAAGAATTATCCCTATTTCATATGTTCTATTTAGTCATATATTCATATAGTGGTTCTTTTTTTTTTTTTTTTGAGATGGAGTTTTGCTTTTGTTGCCCAGGCTGGAGTGCAATAGCATGATCTCAGCTCACCAAAATCTCCACCTCCCGGGTTCAAGCAAGTCTCCTGCCTCAGCCTCCTGAGTAGCTGGGATTACAGGCATGTGCCACCATGCCTGGCTAATTTTTTTTTTTTTTTTTTTTTGAGACGGAGTTTCGCTCATTACCCAGGCTGGAGTGCAATGGCGCGATCTTGCCTCACCGCAACCTCTGCCTCCTGGGTTCAGGCAATTCTCCTGCCTCAGCCTCCTGAGTAGCTGGGACTACAGGCACTCACCACCATGCCCAGCTAATTTTTGTATTTTTAGTAGAGACGGGGTTTCACCATGTTGACCAGGTTGGTCTCGATCTCTCGACCTCGTGATCCACCTGCCTCAGCCTCCCAAAGTGCTGGGATTACAGGCTTGAGCCACCGCGCCCGGCTAATTTTTGTATTTTTAGTAGAGATGGGGTTTTCTCCATGTTGGTCCTGCTGGTCTTGAACTCCTGACCTCAAGCAATCTACCCGCCTCGGCCTCCCAAAGCACTGGGATTACAGGTGTGAGCCACTGCACCTGGCCCATACAGTGATTCTTTATCTTAGCTGTATCCATCTGGGATGCTTTAAAAAGATACTGATAGCTGGGCCCTATACCAACCATTAAATAAGGAGCCCATGCATCATGAATTTCAAAAGCCTCCCAGGTGATTAAAATGTGTAGTTGTAGATGACATTACATTATCTAGCTGCTGCTTCTCTGCCCTTGTCTCATTTTCTAATACTCCTTCCTCCAGTCCCAGAAATACAGATGTTGTTTTGGAACCATATTTTTCTATGTTTAATCCTTTCTACATGATTTATTTCACTTCAGCAATTGGAAACCTTCCATATTAATTTGTCAAGACTCTCACAATAAGTCCTAAATCTATTCTCAAGCCTTTATCTTCCCCAAGCTTAAATTCCAGACTACTATATAACCCATAATTCTTCACAAAAATCAATCTGGCTTCAATTTATAAACTAGATTTGAAGTTAAAAGATTAGATGCAGAAACTCATAGTAGAAACTATCCAAATAAAACTGTATCTATGATAGAGGCCTGAATCAGAGAAGAAAGGGAGTAAATATAAGACATTGACAACAAGAAGAGAATAGGATTTAGTAACTGAATAGATATTGAAGATAAAGAGAAGGGGAGAGTCTACGACAGCTGTGGTTTACTGGAGGAATTGGTACCTCAAAAAGGAATAGAGAATCAGAAGAAAAAAGCATAGTTATTATTATTGCCACTTTTGGATGAAGAATATCAGACAGTAGTATTTGATGATTTGCCCAGTGATCCCAGGTACCTAAATTGAGAGCAGCTTTTCTGCATCTCACTCTATTACGTGGGTCAATAGAATCAAAATCTAGTCCTAAACCCAACCACACATCCAACTTAAGTGTCTGCTATTCCCCAGTACAAATTTACTGTTTCAGTAAGATCAATCTGCTCACAATCTTTTACATATGTCATCCTCATTCTATCGCCATGTCCTTGACTAGAAATGAACCCTCTAAATCTCAGCCATCCTTCAAAGATGCAAAAATATTTCCCATTTATTTTAATCCACAGGGAGATATGTTCCTTTGTCTTTCCCAAAAAAACAAACACTTGGATCTACGCTGCCTTATGCTTCTTTCCAAATATTATATATATTCCTGTTCTCCCAACAAGGATTTCCTTAAGGAAACAAACTAATATTTTAAAACTTATCTCCTCCACAGTGAGGAGGCGTTCCCTTGGAGTAAAGCATTATTTGCTGGGGCATCTCCTTTTATTCATCTTTCTAAGTGCTGTGATGTACCAAAGCAGAGTAGGACTGAACTCAGTCAAGACGGGAAACCGTTATTCACCAGATTGTGCCTGATGAGTTCTTTAGCAAATTCGAAGGATGAAGAAGCATTGTCCATCAAGCTTTTGAGTTCTGCCTGAAATTCAAAAAAGAAAGGCTTATGAAAATGACAATTGTATCGTTCTTATACCACATATTTACACAATGGTTTATAATTTACAAATAATTCATTTGATCCTCATGACTCTAGGTCAATGTAATTATTATTACCCACATTTTCAAATGAGGGCAATAATAAATGAAAACAATGAGGCTTATAAAAGTTATGTGACTTGAAACTTATACTAAGCAGCAAGTTTGAAAACTGGGGTACTCAAGTCTGAAGATTCCTAGAGTTAGTTTTTTCTTTCAGTGTCAAAGGTGATTAACGAGCTAAGCATTTAAGAACTAAGGTTGATTCTTTAATCTGAAAGGAGATTTTGAGAAATCTTCCTTTCATCCTTTTTATATTTCTATTAGTGGTTTGCTAAGCTTTTCTAGATAAAATCATTAAATTCTTGATTGTTCTTCACTAACTACCACAAACTCATTCTGCCTGATCTCACGGTTGGGAATGCATGTCTGCTCAGCATTGTTTTTTTTTTTTTTTTCTTTTTTGAGACAGAGTCTCCTCCATCACCAGGCACCAGGCTGGAGTGCAGTGGTGCGACCTTGGCTCACTGCAACCTTCGCCTCCCGGGTTCAAGCAATTCTCCTGCCTCAGCCTCCGGAGTAGCTGGGACTACAGGTGCGCGCCACTGCACCCAGCTAATTTTTTTGTATTTTTTTAGTAGAGACGGGGTTTCACCACATTGGCCAGGATGGTCTCGATCTGTTGACCTCATGATCTGCCCACCTCGGCCTCCCAAAGTGCTGGGATTACAGGCGTGATCCACCAGGCCCGGCCTCAGCATTGTTTTTTTTAATCACTCTTCTCCTGTCTACAGTACAATTCCAAATTTTTGGGTAATACTAGGCTATATCAGCAGTTTTCAAGTTTTTTGATCTTTAGATCCCTTTTATACTCTATAAAGGATCTCAAACAATTTTTGCTTATGTGGGTTATAGCCATCAATATTTATCATAGTAGAAACTAAAACAGACATTTTAAAGTATTCAATTCATTGAAAATGGTAGAAATAATATGCCTTAAAATATGGTGGAATTAACATTTTGTCTCAATTTCAGAGCCACTTGTCATTACCGAAAATAAAAACATTAAAATTTTTTAAAAGTTTAAAAATAACAATAAACCCCACTACACATTGAAATACATAATTTTTACTTTAAATAACTGTATTTATCAAATCAAAAATTTAGTGAGAACAATATTACTGTTTTACCTTTTTTGCAAACCTCTAATGTCTGGCTTAACGGAAGATAGACAGACTGGCATATCTGTATCTGCATTCTATCTATTTTGAGACCACATTGTCTCAAGTGACAAGGACAAAAAACAAAGCCCAGTACCAGCACAAGGTGGAAAGTCTAGTGAAAGACCCTTCCCACAATCAGCAGGAACTACCAAAGAGCTACCCTGGCAGAAGAAGGATAAAATGGAACTCAAACATCCCTTGTGCAGAATGACAGCCCAGTGAGAATCCTATCAGCGGTTCATCTCAAGCCTAAGTTTGGTCTAAGGTGGTCTCAAATTTATAATCCTCGTACTCATCTGGCAGAGCAAATGCATATCATTTAGAGAGGAAAGTACCTTCATTGCAGATTTTAAATTATTTCTTTTTTTTTTTTTTTTTTTTTTTTTGAGACGGAGTTTCGCTCTTGTTACCCAGGCTGGAGTGCAATGGCACGATCTCGGCTCACCGCAACCTCCGCCTCCTGGGTTCAAGCATTTCTCCTGCCTCAGCCTCCTGAGTAGCTGGGATTACAGGCATGCACCACCATGCCCAGCTAATTTTTTGTATTTTTAGTAGAGACAGGGTTTCACCACGTTGACCAGGATGGTCTCGATCTCTCGACCTCGTGATCCACCCACCTCGGCCTCCCAAAGTGCTGGGATTACAGGCTTGAGCCACCGCACCCGGCCTGATTTTAAATTATTTCTATAAGCATTTTTTATTTATTTTTATTTATTTTTTTGAGACCGAGTTTCACTCTCGTTACCCAGGCTGGAGTGCAATGGCACGATCTCGGCTCACCGCAACCTCCGCCTCCTGGGTTCAGGCAATTCTCCTGCCTCAGCCTACTGAGTAGCTGGGATTACAGGCACGCGCCACCACCCCCAGCTAGTTTTTTGTATTTTTTAGTAGAGACGGGGTTTCACCATGTTGACCAGGATGGTCTCGATCTCTTGACCTCGTGATCCACCCACCTCGGCCTCCCAAAGTGCTGGGATTACAGGCTTGAGCCACCGCGCCCGGCCAAGCATTTTTTAAAATACTGTGTCCAGCATACAAACATAACCTGATGTACTGGTTACATATAGAAACTGGACTCCATGAGGGAGAACCAGGAGAAAGAAGAAAAAACAGAATCAAACACACACACAAAAGCTTAAGAAATTTAAATTATCAAACTCAGATCACAATACAATGATGCTGACAATTTCTTTTGTTTTTATGGTTTTTGTTTGTTTGTTTTTTTCTTTTTGAGAAAAGTGTCTCACTCTATCACCCAGGTGAGAATGCAGTGGCGTGATCACAGCTCACTGCCCTTGATCTCCTGGGCTCAAGCGCTCCTCCACCTTAACTTTCCAAGTAGCTGGGACAACAGGTATGTAGTACTACACCCACCTAATTATTTTTACTTTTTGTAGAGATGGGGTCTTGTTATGTTGCCCAGGCTGGTCTCAAACTCCTGGGCTCAAGCAATCCTCCAACCTTGGCCTCCCAGTACTGGGATTACAGGCATGAACCACCACACCCAGGCCATAACTTTGATGTTTGCTCTTGCTGTAATTTTAGCAGAATTCATGTTTTTCTGATAGGGGCTCTTTTGAAACTGACGTCTTATCCTTCTTAGTGCCTCAAACTAGATCCTGTCCAGATATATTTTAATAAATTAGTGTAAGTTTATTTTGGTGGATTAAAAAAACTGAAATCCATGCACAGTATTTTGTTTCTGTTTTTTTTTTTTTTTTTCCCGAGACGGAGTCTTGCTCTGTCGCCAGGCGCCAGGCTGGAGTGCAGTGGTGCAATCTCGGCTCACTGCAACCTCCGCCTTCTGGGTTCAAGCAATTCTCCTGCCTCAGCCTCCTGAGTAGCTGGGACTACAGGCGCACACTATGACCAGCTAATTTTTATTTTTATTTTTTGTATTTTTTAGTAGAGACGGGGTTTCGCCATGTTGGCCAGGATCATCTCAACCTCTTGACCTTGTGATCCACCCACCTCTGCCTCCCAAAGTGCTGGGATTACAGGCATGAGCCACTGCGCACCACCAGTTTTTTCATAATATGCATTTTCTCCGAACTTTTTGGGGACTCATTGTATATAAATTAATTCTTAAAAGTTATATAATAGGATTAAAAATAACAGTTGGTTTTTTTAAAAGACTACAAAAATGTGAAAATGTAAAGAAAATTATCAAATTTTTAGAAAAATACAACTTACCAAAAATAACACAAGAAGAAACAGAAAACATGCATAGTTCTATAACCACTAAGGGAACTGAATTAAGCAATCTGAAACCTTCCAAACCCAGACAGTTTTAACCATAAGTTCTACCAAACATTTAAGAAAAAAAAAAAAAGCCAATCTTATACAAACTCTTCCAGAAAATAGAAACATATAGTACCTGCTTCAATTCATTCATTTTCCTTTGAGATAACCTTTGCACCAAAACCTGACAAGAACTATACCAGAAAGCAAATTATAAACCAATTAAACCAATATGCATTGATGCAACAAATTAAATAATAGCTAACTAGTTCCTGTGATATATAATGAGAAGAATGAACCATGAAGAAGCTGGGTTTATTCTGGTATAAAGTTGAATTTTAAAGATCTTAAGATCTTAAAGATCTCTTTAACTTTTTATTTATTTTTTATTTTATTTTATTATTATTTTTTTTTTTTGAGACGGAGTTTCGCTCTTGTTACCCAGGCTGGAGTGTAATGGCGTGATCTCGGCTCACCGCAACCTCCGCCTCCTGGGTTCAGGCAATTCTCCTGCCTCAGACTCCCGAGTAGCTGGGATTACAGGCACACGCCACCATGCCCAGCTGATTTTTTTTTTATTTTTAGTAGAGACGGGGTTTCACCATGTCGACCAGGATGGTCTCGAACTCTCGACCTCGTGATCTACCCGCCTCGGCCTCCCAAAGTGCTGGGATTACAGGCTTGAGCCACCGTGCCCGGCTAACTTTTAATTTTTTTGAGACATGCTCTGCCGTGTCTCCAGAGCAGGCTGGAGTGCAGTGGTGTCATCTCGGCTCACTGCAACGCCTGTCTCCAAGGCTCAAGTGATCCCCCCACCTCAGCCTCCCAAGTATCTGGGACCACAGGCACATGCCACCACACCAAGGTAATTTTTGTATTTTTAGTAGAGATGGGGTTTCACCATGTTGAACAGGCTGGTCTCAAACTCCTGACCTCAAATGATAGGCCTGCTTTGGCCTCCCAAAGTGTTGGGATTACAGACATCAGCCACCGTGTCCAGCGTAAAGTGGATTTAGCAATAGAAAATACTTCAAACAAGGCCGGGCGCGGTGGCTCACACCTGTAATCCCAGCACTTTGGGAGGCCGAGGCGGGTGGATCACAAGGTCAAGAGATCGAGACCATCCTGGTCAACATAGTGAAACCCCATCTCTACTAAAAATACAAAAAAAAATTAGCTGGGCATGGTGGCACATGCCTGTGATCCCAGCTACTCAGTAGGCTGAGGCAGGAGAATTGCCTGAACCCAGGAGGCGGAGGTTGCGGTGAGGCAAGATCGCACCATTGCACTCCAGCCTGGGTAACAAGAGCGAAACTCCGTCTCAAAAAAAAAATACTTCAAATAATTTGGCACAAGAATAAGAGAAAATGATATGATCGTTTCAATAGATGAAGAATACAAGATGTTATAATTCAACATCTGATCCTTATAAAACCTCTCAGCATGTAATTCCAGCACTTTGGGAGGCTGAGGCGGGTGG